TATATATATAAAAGCGCGTTGAATTTAAGTAACGAAGGTTGTTTTATTTTGTATGGAGTTTGCGACCCTTAAGGCGAGCCCTTAGAAACCGACAATTTAGGGGTTTGAAATGCTTATTTAATCAGTTTACACGGTTTCTTCTTCCCGACGAGTTGTGTTTGGCCCGATGGAGGGGTAGCTCTCTCCGAGTACGGTAGTCCCTTCCCCCTCGACTGTCAGTATTGAGTTGGATGGATTTCATGGGTGGAAAATACAGATTACCAATGATGGAGGTTCGAAGACTTATTTACAGTCAGGTCCTTTTAATTTTTTTTTTTCAGTTTTAAGACATTTTATTTATTTATTTATTTATTTTAATTTACTCTTATGAACCCTTGCCGAAAACCCAATAGAATAATTTACGCCACTGTGTACTGTATTTAAGCATGGATGATATTTAAGCATGTTTTAATACTGTCAAAGCCTCATCTGAAAGTTTAACGTGCAAACCGATGAGCCGTCGCTCTTGTTGTTTAGGTCTTGCCAATCTTTCACAGTTTTTGTGTATAAATGTAATATATTTATTTTTCTAATGCTGAACATTTCAGAGAATGGCTGCTGTTTGTTATTTGACCTGGAACAATAAATAAAAATAATTAATAAAACGTCTGTTCCGAAAAAAAAACAAACCGATGTGCTATTGGAACATTCCAGTGTACAGCTGAAACACCAAAAGAGCAATGGAATCGAACCGGGAGTAAAATTTTGAGAAGGCCTCTACGGTTCAGCGCACACACATGGTTACCACCAGTTTAACCGATTGAGTAATGCTGTGCTGTAGTTTTGTTTTTTGTAATGCAGAAAAAATGGCTCTTGAACCTGGAACAGTAAAATTCACCGTGAGCATGATATATTTAATTTGCCTTTGTTCAGGTAAAAAAGTGAATGACCGTCCAATCATCGGTAAGATACACCATTTAAATATCCCAAATAGTAAAAAAGATTATATTTTAATAATCGGCCTAACAGAAAGGCTTGACGATTGATCATTGTATTTGTTCTGGTTAGACTCATACCGTAACAAACTGGGCCCCTAGGTCTAGACTATTTAGAATTTACGCACGTTGATGTGGTCTGTGGTAGGGTGTCGACATTTCGTAACCCGGACTTCTCGCAACTCGCCGCTGAAATTTCGTAACTTGCAATGTCTTGGTTTCGAAATGGCCGCAGTAGAGTTAGAAAAAGTCAGGCTCGGAATATCTACCACCCAAATCTTGAGCCTTGATATTTTCTTGTATACTAAGTATCAATTAAATTGCAAGAATTTTCAAGATAAAAGGGATCGTCGAATTGGTTAACAATCTTTCAAAGCATGATGCTTTCCAGAAACCTTACTTTGCATACACCTTCGAATCTCCGTAGGCATATACAAACCACAGTCAATATTTTTCTCAATGCTGAAAAGAATTTACATTTATTTTATTTATTATCAACTTCTCTAGGTGTAATGTCGCAAGAGACTCACGGTGATCTTGGAAAATTTGGACCGTCGGTGGTCGTCGCATCTTACGTAAAGCTTGTAGAATCGGGTGGTGCTCGTGTCGCGCTTGTTAAGATAAACCAATCAATGGACTATTACATAAAAATGTTCAACTCAATAAATGGGTAGGTATTGGAGCAGTAGTTTTGCCAGTAGTGGTCCGGGGGCACAAGACCCTACTCGAGAAACCCTGCTTCTTTCCCCCTTTGGTCGAGAGAAGCCAATTTATTTAATTTATTTATTTTGTTGGGATACAAGGAGACTTCATTCATCCCACTGCGGGGAAATTTCATGGCTAAATGTTTATACAGTAAAACAAAATGCATTAGGCAATTTAACACTTCTTTAATGTTCTTTAATGCGCATGTGCAGATTCATAAAATTTGCTCAAACATGCATGGTAAGGCGAAGTTAGAGTACAGTAGGATTTAACCAACTATATTACAGGCCAAATATATCGGACCAACCGTATTCCATAATATCTGAGCGCAAACACTATTTATTTGCATATCGTTGTAAACATACAATACTTAGTATGTGTCATACAGTGGTGGATTCAGGGCCCCATAAATTTTACAAAATTGTTTATAAAAATGGAGAAAAAAAAAGAAATTATATTCAAATTTTAGTCTGAGAGTGCCATTTCCGGCCATAATCATAAATGTTCTTGCCCCAGCCCCAACCGTGGTGGGGCTGAAGTGGTCCACACTCACCTGGGTTGGCATATTTCAGTGCGCTATGAGTCCGAATTCCTGGATCCGCCACGGTTAGGCCTATGTCTACTTGTCGAACACTCACCAGAGAACATGCTAAGTGTCTTGACAGTGGATTTTTTTTTTTTTTTTTTTTAATTTCAGGTTGATATTTCCAGGAGGTGGACAGTCAGATATTCTTAATTCAGGGTATGGAAAAGCTGCAAAAATCTTTTTTAGTATGGCAGTTGAGGTACAGTTTTTAAGGCCTATCGTAGGTTTCCGTTTGACTTTACACACTCTTAAAATACCACCTTCGTCAGTAAGATACTTCTGGTATCCTCAGGCATTTGTATATTGTCATTTATGACGATAAGGAAATTTCCTTGCAGCCGGGTTGAGTGAAGCTGTAACTTGGGGCCTAATTCAAAGGATCCGGATCCGATTTTCTGATCGGTTCGATATGTTTCGGCTCCGAAAATTTTGATTTAAAAAAAGCCGGGCACTGTCATACGACCGTCGGCCGACGAATTCAACCCCGTTCCCAGTGAGCGCTGTTGGCTTCGCGAAGCCATTTGCTAATTGGCGGTGGCAATCTTCATTAAAAACCCTCCGTTGCGCACGCATCGTGCTGTTGCGTAATAAAAATAATAGGCCTAATAATAATAATAATAATAATAATAATAATAATAATAGGCCTAATAATAATAATAATAATAATAATAATAATAATAATAATAATAATAATACAGGTAATAATAATAATGATAATATAACATTAATAATAATGATGATCATTTTTATTATATTTATATCATATTTAGAGCAATAATAAAGGGGACTACTTTCCGATATGGGGCACATGTCAAGGTCTTCTACTTTTAGCCGCAATTGTTGCAGGTGAAGATATTAGTGGTAGTGTTGATTGTGTCAACGTTGCCGTGCCTTTAAAACCCACACCAGGTATTTCAATACACGTCATGTTTATTAAAATTTAGCTGAGATTTTGTTTATTGGTTGACGCTCTCATCTTCCAATTCTAGGGTCTTGGTTCGAATCCTTCAAGACACCAGGATTTGTTTTCATGACTAAATAAATGTAACAGTACATAGTAGCATAATGTAACTGATTTGTTCAGTTGTTTTGTCGTTGATTTTCATTTTTTTTCCGACTTTTATTTAAGGCATGTCCATCATAAGATCTTTATCTTCTCGGGATCATGCCTTCTTCCAAGCTTGTTTTCGTTTTATCTTAAATCATTGATATGTTGTGTGTTTGTATTATAGAAGTAAATAAATGTTTTTTTTAATGAAATTAAAGTCAAATAAGAATTTTCTGTATATAAACTAGATAGATGTCATCAAAAATATGAGCGTTCAATTAATAGCATTACAAA